CAGTTTAGCTCCAAGATCAGAAAGAAAAGCTAGAAAGATTAGCTAGAAAGATCAGAAAAAAAAGCCATGAGAAAGATCACCACTCTCAGAAGCACGAGTGGCAGGGAAAGATCTGGGGTTGTTTTACCTAGAGAAGAGAAGGGTAAAACGGTAACAGCTTTCATGTCCAAGAAAGGCTGCTGCAAAGAGAAGGGGGATAAATTGACACCTGTGTCTACTATGGAAGAGGCAATAATAGATTAGACGTGGGAAAATCTGGCCAATAGTATGGGAGAAACCAGTATGCGAGGAAGATTTCAGGATCCCTAGCACATGAAGTTTTACAAACAGGTTAGACAAGCATCTTGGCTTTAGTTCATTCTGCCTTAGGGAGGGAAATGGACTAGATAATTTCTTGAGATTACTACCAGAGTTATTTGTTTTGCTTCCCTTTAAAATGTAAATAGTAAAATTACTCTTTCCTGCGCCTTTCATCTTGTCTTTCTACCTTTTGAATCATTCCACTGATCTCCCGCCTGCCATTTTATGTTGCATCTTTCTGATCTTTCTATTATCCACCCCAGTCTGTGTCTCAGTCCCATCTCTGCCTCCCTGCTTTCGGCACTGCACCGCATCTGCAGCGTTGCTTCTGCTGGGAAACCCTTCCTTTTTCCCATGTGAAAGGCAATGTGCCTGTCTTCGTTCCAATTCCTACATAACCAAAGTATTTACATATAATTGCTGAACTAAACATCGTACCTTCCTTCAGTTCCCCCAGTGTTTACGTAGTGGGTGGAAACGACAGTCTTGCACAGTTAATGTGTTGGGTTTTTTTTCTTTCTGCACCTCCTTTTATCATTACTGACCAAGTGGTAATCAGCTCAGAGACTACCAGCATTTTCCTTAAAATAGGATAATTTGTTGTATAAGAGCACAGCAACAATGCAAAAGAGAAAGCACACAGCTAATCATTAGAGAAGCTTACATGGATTATCTTTCGAATAACAAAAGGCATCACTAGTGCTCTAATGTTAGAGGGATGGATATAAGCAAAAATATTACGTATGGATACAAATCTCTATGGCTTTTTCTCAGACAATATATGGTTACGTATATAGAAGAACAGATAATGAGTACCACATGTTTCTTTGCTGGTATTTCTGCTTTCTGGAGCTTTGGGAGCGCTCAGCGTAACCCATGGGCATAGAGCAGACCCCACTGCCGTCGGGGCTTCCTGAGACCCCCGTGTCAGCCCTCAGCTGAGCTCCCACACACCCGGCTGGCTCTGTGCTCCACTCCTGCTTCACATCATAGAATCATAGAATCATAGAATCATTGAGGTTGGAAGAGACCCTTGGGATCATCGAGTCCAACCATCTCCCCTACTCTACAAAGTCCTCCCCTACACCATGTCCCTCAGCACTGCATCTAAACGGCCCTTAAACACAGCCAGGGATGGGGACTCCACCCCCTCCCTGGGCAGCCTGTTCCAATGCCCGACCACTCTTTCTGTGAAAAATTCCTTCCTAATGTTCAATCTAAACCTCCCCTGTTGGAGCTTGAAGCCGTTCCCTCTCGTTCTGTCACTAATTACCTGTGAGAAGAGACCAGCACCAACCTCTCTACAGTGTCCTTTCAAGTAGTTGTAGAGTGGGATGAGGTCTCCCCTCAGCCTCCTCTTCCTCACACTAAACAGTCCCAGCTCCTTCAGCTGCTCCTCATACGATTTGTTTTCCAGCCCCCTCACCAGCTTCGTTGCCCTCCTCTGCACTCGCTCCAGCACCTCGAGATCTCTCTTGGATTGAGGTGCCCAAAACTGGACACAACCCTCCAGGTGTGGCCTCACCAGTGCCGAGTACAGGGGCACAATCACCTCCCTACTTCACACGGATGTATGACAATAAAACACATTGTCCTATAGCAAATGAGCATCTTCTTGCATTGCAGCTATTCCTGTCACAGACTCTGGAGGGCCATTTTCCTTTTGACTTTACCATTTGACTTTACAGCCACCCAGTTGCCATCGGAGGCTGCATTTTGTTCAAATACACACAGGAAAGCCAGAATCTATCTATGAACTGTCTATGTGCCCATAACCTACCAACTGGATTAACCTCCCGAAGTTCACTGCAAAGCCCACAACCTTCTCTTAGTGCAACAACAGCCAGCTGAAGGAAAAAAGGATGTAACAGAGAAAATTTCTTTAATTTCCCTCTTTGTTAGAAGGGGACATGGTCCAGACGACCTGGTATTTAAAAGCAAACTTGCCTTGCCTTACATGTGATTTTCAGAAGCAGCAGATGCACTATTAAATTAATATCAGTTTTACAATAACCTTAATTTGTGAAGAAATCCACTGGTGACCAGTTTATTTCTGATATATAATGTGTACTGTTATAACAGCTATGGGCATACCTATTAAGTAATTAATTAAAAGAAAAAGTAAATTCTGCTTACCATATTCAAGCAAATTCTCTGCTGTTAAAAATAGGATTAAGATAAATTAGATCACCAGTATTAAAGGCAGCATTAATGCTCTTCAGCTTTCTATGCAATAACATTCATTGTCATGTACAAGTCGCTTTACATCTTAGATAGTCCTCCAAGAAACAGTAATTTGAAAAAAAAAAATTCCTTACATTAATTTTTCTTTTCATCTCCCTCTATCTTTTTTCTGGCAAGGTGAGTTCAGTGTTCACTAATAAATGAGATGTTCAGTATTAGTGAACAACAGAAGCACTTTACAGATTTATTTCTTGTTGATGAATCCATTTCTTTCATAAGCTCAAACAAAACATAACTGTAACCGATCTACAAAAGACATTACCTGATAACATCCATTTGAGATTTGCTTTTTTCCAGTCTTACTTTGCAGAGGAGAATGATCTGTGTAGTTCACTCAGCAATAACTTAATGATTTCTTGAGGGCAAATACAGACATTTTCAGCTGGACAATGGTATGTTACATATAAATTTTGCTGTTCGTTTTAGATACAAGCCTACTTTGTTAAAAGGAAAAATTAAGAACAGAAAGTTGAGTCTTACTAGGTACTGAGTTGGACCATCTATTAATATTACATATGCAACTCTTCTGTTCCTTTTGAAATACAGACTATCCCCAAAAAGGAATTTTATAGCTTTAGTCATGTTAGAGCCTTATGGGACATTAACAAAGCCTCAGAGAATGATTTTTAAATATGTCAGAGGACTTTACATTTGTATGCATGAGACAAATATGCAAGAGATATTCAGACGGATCCCTTTGAGGATCTGTTCTCATGCTCGGTGTGTTACTTGAGGAAGTACCCGGAGACCAGCTGGGGCTGCAGCCTCAGAAGAGCTGGGATTCACATCTCGCTGCGCGACAAAGCCTCCCGCGGGACCCACACAAGCCACATGGGCCATGAGCACATGGATCCCCGGGTCCATCTCTGCCTGAATCCATGCCTTCCCCTAATGACCAGCAGCAAAATCCCTTGGCAGCTCTCTGAGTCCCAGGTCTCCCACAGCTCATTGCAAGAACAGCACCGAGCAGGCACTGATGCCAACTGGGGGCTAGCTAGCTACATACAGAGCTGGTTCAAGCCAAAATCTTTACCTACAAATCCCAGAATAAGCATTTCTCTGCCTATCTTGCCAGTAAAGCTTACACCTTACAGCACAGGCCAACTAGATTTTTGCTTCCCCCTGAGTCACAGCCCTTAACTCTAGGTCACGGCAGGGCAGGGGGAAGTGCAGCCCTGATTTTTTTATTCACCAAACAAATGCAAGTTTTGAGTCAAATAATTTAAAATAACGCTAGATTTTTAAAAAGCAAAAACTATTCTGGCTAAAGAAAAATACAAAATAAAGTGAATATCATCTCAGTATTTTTAAATGGCAGAGTTTCATTCTCAATGATGCTCCACAGAAGTATGTCAGCAAAGGGTTAATAAACAGCAGTAGCAAAGCCATTGGTTTGGGTCTAGCTAACCATTCCATGCATTTCTTTCCTGCAAACTGGAAAAGTCTTTATTCCCACAGCTTTAATTAAGACAGCTACATCTAATGCAGTGAAAGATTTGAATCAGGGCTCCTGCAGATTGAACGGCTGCTCGAAGCACTAAATTACCAGCCAGTCCAACAGAGGGGTCTTTCAAAGTTCCCTGTTGGTGGTCTTCCTTCGAGCCTTAGGTTTTCTGGTCTGAGTTCACCTTTTGTAGAGCAAGGACAACAGCACGTGGACCTACTGGAAGACCTCCGGAGCAGACCCTTTTTATTCTGTATTTGTATCATGGGTCTCAGGCTGCAAGTACAGAGCGTACGTACTCCTATGGCATGGATAATACATTAAAGACTTTGAAGCTTCCAAGTACAGTGATAAAGGAGGACAGATAAAAACCTCAAAGAGAATTTTATTATGAGTAATATATAAATATCAGAAATAAATGTTCAACATGAAATATTTCAATTCCACTGTCCAAATGCTTCACAGGACATTCTTCAGGAAATCGAAGAACAATAATAAAACAAACTGGCACTGACTAGTCATATTAAGGAAATACTGAGGATAACACATAGATTTCTAGCTATCTTTTATAATATCTCTTCAAGTACTTTACAAAAGGCCTTTCAGTTTCTAATATGATTAGAAATGTTTTCCTATACCTTAAGTAAGCAGAAATTACTCTGAAATGCATGTGAGCCTTCCTCTCTGTGCTCCCGTATCCCTTTCTCCTGCTTTCCCTTTGAGAGAGGAAAATGGCAGCAGTTCTGTTGCATGTTAAAGCCCATAAAATGAATGGAAAAAAGGGTGCTGTAAGAGATGGAGAGGTGAACATCCAGAACTGGATTTTAAAAATTGTACAGAAATCTGAGAGTGTGCATTCAGAAGAGTGTGCAGAAAACATATTAAGTGGCAAGAAAACTCTCAGATATTTATTTTGTATAGCCAGAGTGGATGCTAACCTTTCATTGTCAAAAGGTACATGTTTTGCTTAGCCTGTTCCTATTACTTTTTCTTTTTTTTTTTTTTTTAACAGATGAATAAAAATTCTTCCAACATAATGGCTTTGGCCTCTAACGTTTCTAACAAAAGAGAGGCAGTGTGCATATTTGGAACTGGAGATTTTGGAAGAGCTCTGGGGCATAAATTGGTTCAGTCCGGCTACCCTGTGGTGTTCGGAAGCCGGAGCACACAGACATCCAGCCTGATCCCTAAGGATGCGGAGGTGTTGAGCCACGCGGAGGCGGCGCAGAAAGCCGCCATCATCATCATCGCAATCCAGAGGCAACATTACAGCTTCCTTGCACCACTAGCAGAAATCCTCCGTGGAAAAGTCCTGGTGGACATAAGCAACAACGTAAAAATAAACCAGTATCCTGAGTCCAACGCGGAGTACCTCGCCCAGCTGGTGCCTGGCGCAAAGGTTGTGAAAGCCTTCAACACCGTGTCAGCCTGGGCCCTGCAGTCGGGCACGCTGGATGCCAGCCGGCAGGTAAGGCTCAGCAAGGGCAGGGTCCTGTGTCACCAACTTCTCTGTCCTATGGCTTCTTAATGGCTAGACAAAACACACACAGATCAGACTGAGTTGAGGTGGAATTTTCACTATAGTTGTCCCTTTCAAACTAAACGTGAGCTCGAGTTTAATCATAGAATCATAGAATTGCCCAGGCCGGAAGGGACCTCCAAAGGCCATCTAGTCCGACCTCCCCACAGTCAGCAGGGACACCCCCAACTAGACCAGGTTGCCCAGGGCCTCGTCGAGCCTCTCCTTGAATATCTCCAGGGATGGGGCCTCAACCCCCTCCCTGGGCAACCTGTTCCAGTGCTCCACCACCCTCACAGTGAAGAACCCTCTCCTCATCTCCAGTCTAAATCTGTTCCCCTCCAGCTTGAAGCCATTGCCCCTCGTCCTGTCACTGCAGGCCTTTCTAAACAGGCTCTCCCCAGCCTCCCTGTAGGCCCCATTTAGGTACTGGAAGGCCGCTATTAGGTCTCCCCGGAGCCTCCTGTTTCCTGTTGGTTTGTAATATGCCATGAGAAGGAACACCGATGGCTTGCCTCTGAGCCTGGTAAGGTGTTTGGAGACACTAGTGAAGCAAGGAAAGAAGGACAGCAGATCCAGAAAGAGAGAGAGACAGCAGATCAAGAGGAAATGAGGACTGCGTCAGTTGTTCACCAGGACTGTAAAGTTAAACAGAAAGGAGACAGAAAGAATAGATCAAAGCAAGAATAAAATCAAGGGAGGAAAAAAAAGGGAGGTAAGGGATATGATGGGGCAATAGAATGAGTGAGCTGGAAGGCGAACAAATTAATAGTTTTCTAAATCAGAATCCATCACCACAGAAGTTTAACACAACCACAGTGTGCAAACTATTTTGACCAGCTCCTTAACCACAGGCCAGTGAGCACAGATCTGGCCATAGGAAGCAACACGGCAGCTCACCAGAAGACAAATCTTTTCTGATTACCCTGTTTTCTGCCAGTCTGAGGGATAAGTGCTCTTGTAAAACACACAGTTTCAGCCAGCTACTCAAACCATTGCTAGCTTTGCTTTCTGCTGTCAAATAAATGGTTTTGGCTAAATTAAAGACCCAAGCACTTTCAAGTCTAGGTTCTACAAGCCTTCATCATATATACAAGAGCAGAAATTGCCCCCTTTCTCCCAGTTCCAAAAGGAGTATTGCCTTGCACATGCACAGAAAAGATTTTTTTTTCACTATTTTACTAGTTGGAAAGAAATAATATTTACTTTTTTAATAGGGCAATCATGTTTTAAAAAACTCTGTCCCCAGTTCTCTGGAGTCCTTACGGACCACTGTAGCAGCAATTGAAAAATCTTTCTCTTATTTAGTCCTACAAAATTTAGTGCTAACAAACTGCTTGCAGGTCTTCCAAAGAGTATGCCAAGACTTCTAGGCAAGGACTTGTACTAAGTGTGCTATACATTGCTTTTTTCAGATATAAAATTTTGCCACTTGAAACAATCTCCTTCTCCAAAGGAAAGACTCATACTCTTAGTTCTTGGACCTGTTGGCCAAGAAAGTAAAGTACCTATAGGCTACTTTTTGCCTACATAAATTTAGGCCAGCAGGGAGGCCAAAAAATAGCCTAAGAAGCCTGTGCTCATCATCCATATGCAGGCAGGATGGCAGTAGAGGATGTCACAAAAGTCTGTCTAAATAAAACTTCTGTTTGGTTTTGGTTGCAGGTGTTTGTCTGTGGCGATGACATGGAAGCTAAACAAATGGTGATGGATATTGTTCGTGCCCTGGGTCTCACTCCATTAGATCAGGGATCCCTCTTGGCTGCTCAGGAAATAGAAAATTACCCTCTGCAGCTCTTTCCAATGTGGAAGTTTCCCATCCTTTTGTCCCTTGGCCTAACCGCATTCTTCTTCTTCTACTGTTTGATTCGCGATGTAATTTACCCTTATGTTTGTGAAAACAAAGACTTGTCATTTTTTATTGCAATTTCCATTCCAAATCGGATCTGCCCTATATTGGCACTCATCCTTCTTGCCTTGGTTTATCTTCCCGGTGTATTTGCTGCAATTATTCAGTTATATCGAGGTACCAAATACAGCCGTTTCCCAGACTGGCTGGACAAATGGATGCTCTGTAGGAAACAACTTGGACTAGTAGCCTTGGCATTTGCTTCTCTGCACGTTTTGTACACTCTTGTTATCCCAACTCGATCCTTCGTAAGATGGAGAATCAGCAGTCAAACCGTCTCCCAGGTAAGTTTTGTTCCCTGCTCTATGTCTTCCTTCCTTCTGGCTCTGCTACAAATACTACCTTCTATCTTGAGCTTCAGAAATTCATGTGGACAGTCTAAAGTTCTTTACAATATGGTTATTTTTCTTGTTTCTATGATCCATTTAATCGGTATATCCAAATTTTGTTGATACTACATTGAGTTGATGGGATTTCTGGCCTCAGTCTTCCTCTCAGATAGTTTACATACTAATAAAATAAGAAGGAAAAATATAAACATTAAGAGTAATTTAAAGAAACATATTTCCCTATTTCTTCACATACCTTTAAGGAGGGCACATAATTTGACTTTCTGACCTTATTTAACAACAAAGGATCACATACCTGTCCTCAACAGTAGGTCTACAGCAATATAAAACATGCACCACAATTACAGGTACATGGAACATATATGTAACAGAATGCCTCTTCTTCTTTTTGAGTAAGCATTCAAAATAAATCTCCAATAATTTTCAGAAAGTGCATGTGTAACATTTGTCTCCTAGTTACCTTAAAGCATATTTTTTCTGCATATTGATCCTAAATCTGTTGTCACTAAGATATACCTGGTCTGCTTTTCTTCAGGCACTGAACAATAAAACAGAACCACTCAACACCACTAATGCCTGGCTTAGTGACTCTTATTTGGCTTTGGGAATTTTAGGATTTTTTTTCTTTGTTCTTCTGGGAATAACTTCCTTGCCTTCAGTCAGCAACAACGTCAACTGGAGAGAATTTCGATTTGTACAGGTAAGAAAAAAAATTATCCTAAAAATCCTTCTTCTCTTATAAACGATGAGCACAGGCAGGTTTACTAGAGACTTAGGGCTTTCCTCCATTAGTAGCTCCAAATGTGATGCGTGCACCACCCACAACCACAGAGTGGGAAAAAAAAAAAATCCACACTGCTGTACAAGTCACCTGTAAAAAACCACAATTGCTCTGATGGCTGATTACGGTACCACTGGGATTGTTGCATTAACAAGAGAAAATTGGGAAGACAGGAGCTCCTAAATGACAAACAGAAAGCTGACATCGTGGATTATCAAATTCCACAATTATACTGAGTCACAAAATCTTTTCGCCGTTTGTTGGGCTAATTTTGTTGGTTCACTAGACGATTCGGTTAAAATGGGCCTGAAAAGTGACTTCATAACTCAGACGCTGTCGGTGCAAAGCATCTACAGAGAATCGGTGGTTTTGCAGGCTCTGAAAACTGCTGTGCCCATAAACAGGCTGCCCTTGGTAACGCTACAGTCTCAGCCCCCCCTCCAAAGAAGCTTCGTGCAGGCTGCCGTGCCTCTGCAGGAGCTGGGCTGGCAGGGAGGGGAGGCAAGGGAAGGGGAAATTGCTATCAATGAATGTTTTATCAAGGCAAAAAACTTGCACAGTATGGTAGTTCTGGATGGTGTTTTATCAAGGCAAAAAACTTGCACAGTAGTGCAAGTAGTTCTGGATGAATTAGCACTACAGCATATAAAAAGCTTAGACTTCTCCACTGAATTTCTGCATTTTCACAAATACGACAATCACTAGGCAGTATGTGTGAACTAGCAAAAATTATCAGGATTGTTGGTGGAGAAAAAAAACCAAAGAAGTGTGTTTTACCTAGGGTCCTTTTAAATTAATCTTTATTTAAAAGCAATAAGAGCCTTTCTATTACACACAACAGTTTCATTTCAGCAGTCCCCAATTAGTCCCAAAGTTCCAAGAAGCTCACTGTGTCCTGTAAATTGCATTTGTTCTGGTTTACTTCACTGGTTTAACCTCTACTTCTTTCTTTCTTTCCTTTGTTCTCCCCTAGTCCAAACTGGGGTACCTGACGCTGGTTTTGTGCACTGCCCACACCCTGGTTTATGGTGGAAAGTGGTTCCTGAGCCCATCATCGTACAGATGGTATCTTCCAAGTGCCTACATGCTCTCCCTCGTTGTTCCGTGCGTTGTACTGGTGGCCAAATTTGTGCTGATCTTCCCTTGCCTAGACAAACCTCTCACACGGATTCGCCAGGGCTGGGAGAGAAACCCCCGCTACTCGGAACCGTCAAATTACGTCATCAACAAGTCTGCTGTATAATTAGACTAGCCTGTAATACCAAAAATAAGAAAAAAAAAAAAAAATATTATGAAGGCATATCAAAGTGAAGTCCTGAGGCTCCTTTACCTGCAGAGTGAGAGAAAAAGTGAAAAACTTGGCCAGGCCCTGAGTGAAATAAAGCCACCCCGATGACAAGCTTAAAATGGAAATCAGGTGGGGCCAGTGAGTTCCTGCAGCCTAGGCATGCTCTCACACAGGTGCAGGCTCTCTCTTTTATTCTGTAATTTCCCCCTTCACCCTCCATTCCTAAGAAGGGTCTGAGAGAAGTAAGTGGTGCTCCACATCCCTCCTCTGTCTTTCCAAACCTCCTCCAGGGCTGGACAGAACCAGCGTAACCTTTGGTGTTAGATGGCATCTGCTCCTCTTCCCTATCCTGCCCATTGAGACTCAGGTCTACGTGCACTCACACGCACCCACCCAGATCCACGTGCACAAAGACACAGGATGGATGCTGGCTGAGGAAGAGCTCTCTTCCTTCCAGCATTAGTTTATCCTCCATTATCACCTGATCCAAAAGAGACCTATGTTCATACCTTAGTGACAGCTGAGCAAGATTTGTTTGGTTTCTGCACAGGAACTTTAACACTCAAAGTGTATGGGCCAAGGATTACTGAATCCTTGCTTGTCCTGCTCTACCAGAAACTCAGGTAGCAAGAAGATGGAGGAGAGACCAAACTGCCAGAAAGACGTGAGATGTGCTCACAAGCCTAAGCTTCGCTACAGGCACAGGCAAAAAATGGCCAGTGATTTCTTGTGCAAGCAGTGAGTTGTAAGGAAAGAAACTGAAGGAAAATCATATTATATCAGAGGGTTGTATTATACATCATGGTTATATCTCATGAAGAGAATATTGTTGATTTTTCAGAAATTAAATATTTAGATGCAAGATTACAGATGTTCTATGAAAACATACATATTTTAACCACAATAAAGATTTTTTTTTTTACACCGTTGAGCTTTGTTATCATTTCTGGAACCTCTTTTGATATGATCATAGAATCATAGAACGGTTTGGGTTGGAAGGGACCTTAAAGATCATCTAGTT